CGCAAAAATGCGTCCCTGAGCTGGATCTCAGCACTTGGGAAGACTGAGGCAGGAGGCTCGCTGTGAGTTTGAGGTGAGCCTGGGGCACACAGTGAGTTCAACAACAGCCTCAACTACATAGTGAGACGCTGTCTCAAAAAAATAAAAACAAAATAGAACATTTTTGAAGAATTTTCTCAGGTGGCTGCTGTCATATTTCCTGTAAGAAATCCTTATCAATGCACAGTCCTACCCATTATCGCCCTTGTTCTCATCTTGTCCCCAGACTGATAGTGGGAACAGGACACTCAGGGCTGAGCCAACTCAGACTCAGGTTTCCTACAGACTCAATTTTCACAGATAAGACAGTGTAGGAGTTAGGGCTCAAGGGGCTCAGTTTTAAACTTCGTTTGGTGCCACTTAACGCTAAGTACTGTAGATTAAGCGGCAGATCTCACAATGGTATCCCTATGTAGCCCAGGCTGTCTTTCAACTCACAGCAATCTTCCTGCCTCAGCCTCCCAAGGGCTGGGATCACAGGTATGCATCACCACACCTTGCCTTGGTAGTTATTTATAATATTGTTTCTGAGGGATAAGTGTTATGGTTCTTTTTAAAAAATTATTTTTATTTTTATTTATGTGTGTGTGTGTGTGTGTGTGTGTGTGTGTGGCCAGCTCAGCCCACCAGGGGGCGGGCTGGCTGGCATGTGGTGCTGGGGATTGAACCGTGGTACCTGTGCTTTGCTAAGCTTGTTCTAAGTAGGTGCTTTAGACCACTGAGCCATCTCACCAGCCCCAAGTGTTATGGTTCTAAACAATTTAAAAACAAATCTTTGAATTATAATACTTTTAATCGTAATACTTTTAAACTCTAGCATCTAGTCAGGGAATGTATTAGGTACTAAGTATAGAGATGAAATCATTTCTGTTCTGAAGAAACTCAGGTTCAGGAGGACAGTAATTGCTGTGAACTTTGTTATAAGAATTTGTGCAGGGGAGTTTATAGTGCACAGTTAGGGGTCTGTAGTCAGAAAGAAAATAGAACCCGAGCCTCTTTGGGTTTTCCAGCTAATACTGACTAGGAGTCAAAAAAATGCTTTTTTGGGGGGAAATCAGGGTCTAGGTAGGCAGCTCAAGTTAGCCTTGAGCTCACCACGTAGCCCAGGCTGTACTGAGCTCCTGGTGATTTTTCTGCCTCAGCTTCCGCCTCTGGAGTGTTGGGACTACAGGTGTGTGCCACCACACCTGAAAAGAAAAATGTCTTTAAAAAGATAGCCTATGTATGTATGTACGTATGTATGTATGCATGTATGTATGTATGTATCTTGTCTTTTTAAGACAGGGTCTTACTTTGCAGCTCAACCTGGGTTGGGACTCACTTTGTATTCCAGGCTGGACTAAAACTTGCAATGATACTCCTGCCTCAGCCTCCCCAGTGCTCTTATTTTTTCTACTGAAGTAGAAATTTACAGGTGAAATTTCTTTTCTTTTCTTTTTTGTATTTTTTAGGGAAGGGTCTACAGGGTGATCAGGGTCTCACTACTAGATCAGACTCGTAGTGATCTGCCTGGTTACAGTCTCCCAAGAGCTGGGATTATAGGCATGCACCACCATGTCCAGTCTCACTTGTCGGCTCAGCATGCCCTCGGGGGTGGGGGCAGCATGGCAGACCCGGGGATCGAACTTCCGGGTGGTGGGGGCGGGGGGCTGTGCCTCCTTGCAGGCACTTTAATCTGCTGAGCTATTTGGCCAGCCCTTACAGGTGACATTTCATGATTCTGGAGTTTGCTTTAAAATACTTCAGGAAAACAAAACAAAAGCAAACAAAAAGAATTAACTGAAGCAAATTCTGCAACATGTTGATAAGTATTTAATGAGAATGATGGGTGTGTATATATAGATTCAGTATCTCTAATACAGAAATGCAATGATGTGGATTCATTTTTCTACTTTTTTTTTTTTTTTGGCAGTTCTGTAATTTTATTTCCAAGTTAGTTCTCATCCATATTCACTGTCTGGAGATTTTTGAACGTGGTAACAGGTACGTAGGTTACCAAGGTATACAGCTTGTTTGATGAATCTTCATCCTCATTCCGTTTCCTGGACAACCGTACTTGAATACGATATGGAACATCCCTTATTCCTTTGGCCCAGACAGCGTTCGTTGTTAAGCCTGGTGTCAATGTGCACATCTGGAGTCCCCATTTCCTTCATGGCAAACTTCCGGATCTCCTTAAGTGCCCGAGGGGCGTGCTTCTTGAAGCCCACTCTGTGGATGCGCTTGTGAATGTTGATTGTGTACTCTCAGGTCACCACCTCGTTGATGGCAGAATGGCCCTTCTTCTTCTCGCCACCCTTCTTTGCAGGAGCCATTCTGCCAGGCCCAAGTTGGAAAGGAAGAGCGTGGTGGATTGTCTCTCTACTTTTGTAAATATAATTCTCTAGCCTTGTAGGAATTCTTGTAAGTACATTTACAATTGCAATATAAGAAAACAATGACATTCACGTGAGGCTACAAGAACAGAAAGAATCTCTTCTTCTTTCTTTGTTTGGTGCAGCACCGGGGATGGAACTCAGGACCTTGTGCTTGCCAGGCAGGCGCTTATGCTGCTGAGTTATATCTGTGGCAGGAACAGAAAGAGCCTGAATCTGCTTGCATGAGATTGAGCAGGATACGGAGTGTTAAGAGTTCGATTCTGATATCCTGAGTCCAAATTCTGATTGTCCCTAACCTGAGTCCAAGCTCCATGGGAGGAACATGATTTTGGGTACATAGCTTTGCCTCTCTAGGTCTCAGTTTCTGCTACAGGAAATGGAGACAAGTATAGTATGTAAATGAGGGGCAGAGGAGACAACTTTGCAAGCCCTTGGAACAGCACCTGACACTGGTTTGTCATTATTTGTTACTGTTATTGATGATATTATAAATGTCTTTTAGAGATAGTTTCAGGAGGACATATTTTAAGAAAAGATCAGAGACAAGACAATTCAAAGTCATTCATGGGTAGAGGTGTGTGTGTGTGTGTGCTGAGGGACAGAAAAACAAAATTAACCTGATTGTCATATTTCTTTTTTCTTTTTTTTTTTTTGAGACTGGGTCTCGGTATGCAGTTTGGGCTGGCCTTATGCTCACTTTTGTAGCCCATCAGCAGGTCTTGAACTTGTAGTGATCCTCCTGTCTCAACCTCCCAAGCGCTGGGATTACAGGCGAGCACTACCGTGCTTGGTTCCGGGTGCTGCAGCACTCCCAGGACATGCCTGGGGTCCTGGGTTGGGACGGCATGTAGGTCTGGGATTGAACCCAGGACCTTGTGCATGGCACTAGGTGCTTATGCCTCTGAGCCATCTCCCCAGCCCATATTTCTATCTTAGAAGACCAGGTGGATGAGGGCACCCTTAACTACTAGGGGAATATAAACAGAGGGAGGTTTACCACTTCCAAATTATATTTTTCTTTTTTCTTGAGATGAGTTCTTATTATGTAGCCCAATCTAGTCTTAAACTCCTAGACCCAAGTGATCCTCTTGCCTCAGTCTCCCAGGTAGCGGCTACAACAGCTAATTTGCCACCACACCTCGCTATAAATTGTATCTTATTACATAAACAAATCAGCAAGTATTTATCAGAATGCATTACTTCATAAAGTAGCAACAATGGTAGGTTAAGTGAAGTGAGGGGAAGTATTTCAAGAGGAATTAATAGCAATGAGTTTTTTTTACTGTAATAATTTTTAAAAATTTAAGCATTCACCGTATGTTATGTACATCTTATATAACTGATTATAGCTATGTACCAATTTGCATTTTAATTTCAATGTTTGCTAATTGTGAAATAATCTCAAATTCACAGAAAAGCTGCACGTACAGTACCAAAAATACTTTTTTCTCCAACCATTTCAGAGTAGTTGCTAATGAGATGCTTTACCACCCTGAATAGTTTAACGCTTTTCTTGCAAACAAGGAATTTTTCATACATAACCACAGTGACATCAAAGGCAGGAAATTAATACCAGTTTGTTAGCGGCACCTAATCATCAAATGCATTCAAGCCTCACCACTTGTCATTCACAAATGGTACCCTCCACAGCAAACCTTTTTGGTCTCATTAACCAGCAATACAGCCTCAGTAGTTTTTTGAGCTCAATCCGTTTTTGGGGGGGAACAGGGTCTTACTATGTAGTCTGGCAGGGAATGTTCCCTAATAATTAGGTTTAGGTAGAATTTTTTCTTTTTTAAAAATTTTCTCAGCACACCCTGGGGGCATGGCTGGCATGGCAGGCCCGGGGATTGAACTCCTGGCCCCTGCCTGCAGGTGCTTTAATCCGCTGAGCTATGTGGCCAGTCCTTAGGCTGAATATTTTTGGTAAGGGATGAAGCGATGCTGTGTCTGTGTTCTTTTTATTTTCTATCACATAGCGCTTCCCTTTGATTTGTACCATTCCTGACAATTTTTTTTTTTTTTTAAACATATTTGGTTGCTACAGGGTCTCACTACACACCTCGATCCTCCTGTTTCAGCTTCCCCAGCGCTGGGATTACAGGTGTGCGCCATGCCAGGATGCTGACCGGGGAGGGGCCAGAGGTTCCATTCCGGGCCTGTTGTGCTATCCCCCCTCACCCAGGGGCAAGCTGAGACCAGCAATTAAGACTGGGCGTGGTGGCATGTGCCTGTAATCCCAGCTCTTGGGAGGCTGTAAACAGGTGGATCACTATGAGTCCAGTCTAATAGTGAGACCCTGAACACCCTGTACACCCTTCCCTGAGATACAAAACAAAAAAAAAGGATGCTGACCAGCTCAGCCTGCCCTGGGAGCAGGGCTGGCACAGCATGTGGTGCCTGGGATACTCCCTGTGCTTGCCTAAGCAGGCACTTTAGTCTGCCGGGCTATCTTGCTGGCCCATTCCTGGGAATTTTTTTTTCTTTTTCCAGAATCAGGGATTGAACTCAGACCCTTGCGCTTGCCCAGCAAGAACTTATTCTACTGAACTATCTTCCCAGCCTCTGCTGGGAATGTTTAATGGAGCATTTAGGATGGTGTCGGCCAGGCATGGGGGCACACACGTGTAATCCTAGCACTCTGGCAGTGTGATACTGCTGGTCAGGCGTGTGCAGGTACTGCAGCTGCCCGCTGAGGTCCTTGTTCACACTGCTCAGCTTACACACAGCAGTGCAATACTGCTGAATCCTAGCACTCTGGAGGGCTAAGACGACTGCAAGCTCAAGACCAGCCTAGGCAACTTAACAACTGAGACCTTGTCTTCAGGGGAGGGAGGAGCTGGAGATGTGCTCAGGGGCGAAAGAAAAGATGGTGTCCGCCGGGTTTCTCCACTCCAAAGTTAGTAGTCTTCTCCTTTTTATAATATAGTCTTTTGTGGAGGAGATACTTTAAACCTATGTAAATAATTTTAACCAAACTTTCTATTTGTTCATTTATTTATATCAGTATGGACTCATAGCTTGCTACTTTATTTAATGGGTTATAATCTCATCATTTATGGTAACTGTCAAATTTCCCTTGATTTGGCCAATGGGAAGACCTCCTTTAATCTGAGTTTTATGTCTTTGGCAACATCGGTTTTGAGCACTCTGTACTTTCTGGCATTACAAGATGTCCTGGCATATATCTTGTTCTGTTCTTGCTGCGAGTCACGGAATCTGCCATTTCTCTGAGGGGCCCTGGTTCTTTTTAATGGAGAAGGGTGTCTGGAAGCCAAGATTTGGGCTGCTCCTGTGTTCACTTACTGAGTTCTATCTGTTCCCAGCCCCTCCCAGTGGGAGAGGTAGGAAGCGGATACATGTTAAAGATATATACACAGTGATGTCTGTATTTCTTCCTCTGTATTTACTTTTTATGCATTTAGTACAGGGGTCTGCAGGGTCTCACTACACAGATCAGACTCATAGTAATCATCCTGTTTTCAGCCTCCCAAGTGCTGGGATTACAGGTGCACACCATCACGCCCAGTCTCTCTT